AGACTCTGTCTCAAAAAAAAAAAAGATAACATTTTTGACCCAGTGCAGGTGGCTCAGGCCTGTTATCTTAGCACTTTGGGAGGCAGAGGTGGGCAGATCACCTGAGGTCAGGAGTTCAAGACCAGCCTGGCCAACATGGTAAAACCACATGTCTACTAAAAATACAAAAATTAGTCAGTGTGGTAGCATATACCTTTAGTCCCAGCTACTCAGGAGGCTGAGGCAGGATAATCACTTGAACCCAGGAGGTGGAGGTTGCAGTGAACTCAGATCACGCCACTGTACTCCAGCCTGGGCAACAGAGTAGGACTCTGTCTCAAAACAATAAAATAAAATGACAACATTCTCTTAATCTCTATAATTTTATGAACTGTAATTTCCAAAACGATGTTATAGCCTACAATGCTGCTATATAAGGAATAATGGTGTCAGTCTTTTCTGTTTGAGTTTCCATCTGGTTGTTCTTAGATTGTAATAAAAATGTGTGGTATTCAGAATTTTCTTGTATTTCTTTGTAGGTAGTACTAGCAATGTACAGGGGACTTGAAAGTCAGAACAAGCTAACACTCTGCCCGGAATATTCTGAAATGGACAGCCGTGAACTATGATTTCATTTGTTCAGGATATTTATCCATTTAATATACTTTTTTTGCTTAATTTCAGGAACATGAAGCCATCCAACTGGAATAATAATCAAGTTGATTATTCCAGTCTCAGTGATTCCCAGTTCCTCTTTGGATCTCAGTTCTGTCCAGAAAATTCTGAAACCCTTTCAGCACCCTTGGACTTTGGTGCTTACTTGAGACATTCAAAACAGTCACAACAGAATTCTCTGGAGGTGAGTTTCGTTTCCAGAATTGCTCTGCACACATTTCACAGTCATTATGGAGATAAACTATAAAGGATACTTATTCTGGCTGGGCATGGTGGCTCACGCCTGTAATCCTAGCACTTTGGGAGGCCAAGGCAGGCAGATCACGAAGTCAGGAGATTGAGACCATCCTGGCCAACATGGTGAAATCCCATCTCTACTAAAATACAAAAAATTAGCCAGGCGTGGTAGCGCACGCCTGTAATCCCAGCACTGAGGAGGCTGAGGCAGGGGAATCACTTGAATTCGGGAGGCGGAGGTTGCAGTGAGCTGAGATCATGCCACTACATGCCAGCCTGGACTTGCAGATCAAGACTCCATCTTAAAAAAAAAAAGAATACTTATTTATTCTGGCCTGGTATGGTGGCTGACACCTGTAATCCCAGCACCTGGGAGGCTGATGTGGGTGAATCCCTTGGGTGCAGGAATTTGAGACCAGCCTGGGCAACATGGCAAAACCCCATCTCTACAAAAAGTACAAAAAACTGAGTATGGTAGCTAAGGCAGGAGGATTGCTTGAGCCAGGAAGTCAAGGCTACAGTGAACCGTAATTCTGCCAGTTTACTCCAGTCTGGGTGACAGAGTGAGACACCATCTCAAGAAAACCAAACCAAACAAACAAACAAACAAACAAAAAACAACCAACATTTATTCTCTAGCCTTAAAAAATTACTTATTCTGTTGGAATATATTTTAGAATTGTACATCAGTAAGTATTACTCTCCTAAAGGGATTTGTGCTTGATTAGTGACTCATTTGACTTGGTAGTCTGAAATGAAAACATTTATATTTGCAGTTTCTTCTTTTTTTTTTTTTTTTGAGATGGGGTTTCACCATGTTGGCCAGGCTGGTCTCAAACTCCTGACCTCAGGTGATCCACCGACCTTGGCTTCCCAAAGTGCTAGGATTACAAGCAGGATCCATCACACCCAGCCTGCAGTTTCTTCTATTACAAAGCAACATAAAATAGTGTCAATTGTTTGACCACTCCTATGGAGAGGCAAATATACACACACACCCACACACACAAACTTATATATATGTGTATATATGTATATTTCTAAGGCTAGTTTTTTTTTTCTTTAAAGAGACAGGGTCTTGCTATGTTGCCCAGGCCGGAGTGCAGTGGCTATTCACAGGCGCGATCCCACTACTGATCAGCACGAGAGTTTTGACCTGCTCTGTTTCAGACCTGGGCTGGGTCACCCCTCCTTAGGCAACCTGGTGGTTCCCCACTCTCGGGAGGTCACCATATTGATGTTGAACTTAGTGCAGACACCTGATCAGCATAGCGCACTACAGCCCAGAACTCCTGGACTCAAGAGATCCTCCAGCCTCAGCCTCCTGAATAGCTGGGACTATAGGCACGTGCTACCGCGCCTGGCTAGTTTTTTAATATATATATTTTATATCTATCTATCTATCTATCTATCTATCTATCTATCTATCTATCTATCATCTATCTATCTATCTATCTAACTATCTGCCTCTCCCTAGGGGTGGTCAAGTGATTATTATATATATATATATATTTTTTTTTTTTTTTGAGATGGGGTCTCACTCTGTTGCCTAGGCTGGACTACAGTGGTGCTATCACAGCTCACTGCAGCCTTGACATCTCAGCTCAGGTGATTCTCCCACCTCAAGGGAGAGGCAAATATTGTATGATATTTCCTAAGGCTAGTCATACTATTGTTTGTAAGAATTTCTTTCTTTTTTTTCCTGAGCTTCCAGAACAAAATTCCATAGACAGAGAATTTCATAAGTAAAAATAGTTTTCATAAAATGTAAATAAAAAACATAAATTTTATTTTAGATGAACTTTTTTTTTTTCAGGATGGAATCTTGCTTGTTGCCCAGGCTAGAGTGCAGTGGCACAATCTCAGCTCACTTCAACCTCTGCCTTCTGGGTTCAAATGATTCTCCTGCCTCAACCTCCTGAGTAGCTGGGATTATAGGCACCCACCACTACACCTGGCTAATTTTTGCATTTTTAGTATAGACTAGGTTTCACCGTCTTGGCCAGGCTGGTCTCAAACTTCTGACCTTGTGATCCACCTACCTCAGCCTCCCAAAGTGTTAGGATTACAGGCATGAGCCACTGCCCCCAGCTGAACTTTTTTCAAATAAGAAACTTCATGTATTTTGTATACTTTAGCTAACTATACTACATTATGTCCTTGAAGAAGAAGGAGATGAAGATTCTGAGGCCTAGGTTAATGAGTAAAGGCCAAAATGAGGAACAGAGTCTCTTGAATCCTTGATTTTTTGAGATTAACTTTACTTTTCCTTCTTTTTTATTCCCCCAAGATGGAGTCTTGCTCTGTCACCTGGGCTGGAGTCCAGTGGCATGATCTCGGCTCACTGCAACCTCTGCCTTTCAGGTTCAAGCAATTCTCCTGCTTCAGCTTCCCCAGTAGCTCGGATTGCAGGTGTGCACCACCACACCTGGCTAATTTTTGTATTTTTAGTAGAGACAGGGTTTCACCATGTTGGCCAGGCTGGTCTTGAACTCCTGACCTCAGGTGATCCACCCTCCTTAGCTGCCCAAGCGTTGAGATTACAGGCATGAGCCACTGTGCACAGCCTGAATTTTTGAGATCAACCTGTCTTTTCTTGACAGTCAAAAACATTTTGATTTTTGGGGGCACCTATAACTAGATGCAGCTTTTTGGGTTTTTTTGAGACAGAGCCTCACTCTGTCGCCCAGGCTGGAGTGCAGTGGTGCAATCTCAGCTCACTACAACCTCTGCCTCCTGGATTCAAGAGATTCCCGTGCCTCAGCTTCCTGAGTAGCTAGCTAGGATTACAGGCACCTGCCTCCATGCCCGGCTCATCTTTGTATTTTTAGTGGAGACGGGGTTTCACTGTGTTGGTCAGGCTGGTCTCAAACTCCTGACCTCAAGTGATCCACTGGCCCTGGCCTCCCAAAGTTCTGGGATTACAGGTGTGAACCACGGTGCCCAGCCACACCCAGCTAATTTTTATATTTTTTGTAGGGATGGAATTTTGCCATGTTGCCCAGGCTGGTCTAGAACTCCTGGGCTGTTTGTGTTTTTTTTGGGTGGGTGGGGTTTGAGATGGAGTTTTGTTCTTGTTGCCCAGGCTGGAGTGCAGTGTTGTAATCTTGGCTCACTGCAACATCTGCCTCCCAGGTTCAAGCGATTCTCCTGCCTCAGCCTCCCCAGTAGCTGGGATTACAGGCATGCACTACTACACCTGGCTAATTTTTTATTTTTAGTAGAGATGGGATTTCTTCATTTTGGTCAGGCTGGTCTCGAACTCCTGACCTCAGGTGATCTGCCCGCCTCGGCCTCCCAAAATGCTGGGATACAGGTCTGAGACACCGCAACAGGCCTGGGATCAAGTTTTGTATACAGACTTACATGCATCAAATAGGGATTTAACAAATAAGATTAAATTGGTGCTTTAAGTTAGTGAAGTATGCTCTGAGATAAGTATTTCAGTACAAAAATTGGTATCTATTGATATGAAGGAATAAATGACCTCCCTGAATATTTTTGTGCCAGACAAAACCCCAGCTATTTGGAGGAGATACAAAAGATGGAGGTTTATTTCCTCCTCCTCTGTCAGTTGGAAAATTAAAAGGCCTCTTGGAACAGTTTGAGGAGAAAAAGAAAAGGGCAAAAGCCTAAGAATGCAGAAAGTGGCTCACCATGTGTCAGCATGCCCACTCTCCAGTCCACATCAAACTTATCAATATGAGTTTAGTTCACTAGCAGCTGAGCGACAGCAATTTGAGTTAAACTTATGATTATGAAAACTTTTAACACATTGTCTCAGAGATAGCATAAATGGTTCTCTGTTCTTGCCTTTAAATTTATGCAATTGATTCTAAGCTATTTTAGTTGACATTTAAAATCTCTCTGGGCTGGTAAGGCAGAAACTATATTAATAAAAACAGTTGCTTTATTTTAAATATAATTTTTTGGTATATACAAAAATAAAATGGAAATACTACTTGCTATGTTACATTACAGCAATATGGTTTGCACTTAAATGTGATTCTGCATTGTACAGAAAATAGTGAATGCTATAAATATTTTTATGTGTGAAATGCTATATATTTTTTTCATTTATTTAACAGGGTGAACCTAGCATTTTTGCAAAGTACCAGACAAAACCCCAGCTATTTGGAGGAGATACAAAAGATGGAGGTTTATTTCCTCCTCCTTTGTCAGTTGGAAAATCAAAAAGCCTCTTGGAACAGTTTGAGGAGAAAAAGAAAAGGGTAAAAGACAAATGTGACAGGTATGTAAACCTTTCAAGTGGATGAGTCAACTCATTTTTTTTCTGAGCAAGATAGGACATAGAGTGTCAGTAATCTAATTCAATTTTAGCATAATAGCATGTATTAGAGTTCTCCAGAGAAACCAAACCCTAGGACTTAAACACACAGAGAGATAGAGAGAGAGAGAGAGAAAGAGAAAGAAAGAGAATTATAGACTGATTTTTTTTTTAGACGGAGTCTTGCTGTGTCACCAGGCTGGAGTGCACTGGCACAATCTCAGCTCACTGCAACCTCCACCTCCCAGGTTCAAGCTATTCTCCTGTCTCGGCTTTCCAAGTAGCTGGGACTACAGGTGCACACCACCACACCCAGCTAATTTTTGTATTTTTAGTAGAGATGATGTTTCACCCTGTTGGCCAGGATGGTCTTGGTCTCTTGACCTCGTGATCTACCCGCCTCTGCCTCCCAGAGTGCTGGGATTACAGGCGTGAGCCACCATACCCAGCCTATAGATTGATTTATTTTAAGAATTGTTCATGAGATCATGGAGGCTAAGAAGTCCCAAAGTCTGCCATCTGTAAGCTAGAGAACCAGGAAAGAGAGTGGTACAATTCAGTCTGATTCCAAAGGCCTGAGAACCAGGAGCTCTGATGTCCAAGAACAGAAGTTGGATGTCCCAGATGAAGAAGAGGGAATTTGCACTGCCTTTGCCTTTTTGTTCTATTTGGACCTTCAAAAGAGTGGATGATGCCCACCCACACAGGTGAGGGCAATCATCTTTACTTAGTCTACCAATTAAAATGCTAATCTCCATTTTTTATTTTTTGAGACAGAGACTCACTCTATCACCCAGGCTGGAGTGCCGTGGCTCTGTCATGCACTCTGCATGGCTCACTGCAGCTTCAACCTCTTGAGCTCAAGTGATCCTCCCAACTCAGCCTTCCTAGTATATGGGACCATTAGGCATGTGCCACCATGCCTGGCTAATTTTTTACTTTTTGTAGAGACAGAGTCTCACTATGTTATCCAGGCTGCTCTTGAACTTCTGACCTCAAGTGATCCTCCCATGTCAGCCTTCCAATAGGCTGAGCCACTGTACCCAGCCTAAATTTATGCTAATCTCTTATGCAAACACTCTTACAAACATACCGACTATCTGGGCATTGCTTAGATGAGTCAAATTGACACATAAATTAACCATTTCATAGCACTCTTGCCTTTAAAGTTCATCTAATACTACTGCTACTACTAATAGTTATTATTATTATTATTATTGAGACAGAGTCTCACTCTGTTGCCAGGCTGGAGTGCAATGGCATGATCTCGGCTCATTGCAACCACTGTCTCCTGGGTTCAAGCGATTCTCCTACCTTGGCCTCCCAAGTAGCTGGGACTACAAGCATCTGCCACCATGCCCGGCTAGTTTTTTGTATTTTTTAGTAGAGACGGGGTATCACCATGTTGGACAGGATGGTCTCGATCTCCTGAACTCGTGATCCACCTGCCTTGGTCTCCCAAAGTGCTGAGATTACAGGCATGACACCATGCCCAGCCTATTATTATTATTTTTTTTGGTGAGATGGCTTTTCGCTCTTGTTGCCCAGGCTGGAGTACAATGGCACTGTCTTGGCTCACTGCAACCTGTGCATCCTGGGTGCAAGCAATTCTCCTGCCTCTGCCTTCCAAGTAGCTGGGATTACAGGCGACCACCACCATGCCCAGCTAATGTTTGTATTTTTAGTAGAGATGGGGTTTTACCATGTTGGCCAGGCTGGTCACAAACTCCTGACCTCAGGTGATCCACCCACCTGAGCCTCCCAAAATGCTGGGATTACATGTGTGAGCCACCACACCTGGCTATTATTATTATTATTTATGTATTTATTTTTTGAGATGGAGTTTCACTCTTGTTGCCCAGGCTGGAGTGCAATGGCGTGATCTAGGCACACCACAACCTCCACCTCCCAGGTTCAAGGGATTCTCCTGCCTCAGCTTCCTGAGTAGCTGAGATTACACACACACCACCATGCCCAGCTAATTTTGTATTTTTTTTTTTTTGAGACAGGGTTTTACCATGTTGGTCAGACTGGTCTTGAACTCCTGACCTCAGGTAATCCACCCGCCTCAGCCTCCCAAAGTGCTGGGATTATAGGCATGAACCACCGCGCCCCGCCGCTAATTTTGTATTTTTAGTAGAGATGGGGTTTCTCCATGTTGGTCAGGCTGGTCTCAAACTCCTCAAACTCCTAACCTCAGGTGATTCACTTGCCTTGGCATCTGAAAGTGTTGGGATTACAGGCGTTAGCCACTGTGCCCGGGCTTTTTTTTTTTTTTTAATTCTAAGATGGAGTTTCACTCTTGTTGCCCAGGCTGGAATGCAATGGCATGATCTTGGCTTACTGCGCCTCCACCCCATGGGTTCAAGCGATTTCCAGCTAATTTTTGTATTTTAAGTAGAAATTGGTTTCACCATGTTGGCCAGGCTGGTCACAAACTCCTGACCTCAGGTGATCTGCCTGCCGTGGCCTCCCAAAATGCTGGGATTACAGGTGTGAGCCACCATGCCCAGCCTATTATTATTATTTTTTAAGAGACAGGGTCTTATGCCCAGGCTGGAGTGCAGTGGTGCAGTAACACTCACTGCTTCAACCTCCTGGGCTCAAGCAATCTTCCCACCTTAGCTTCCCAAGTAGCTAGGACCAGAGGCACATACTACTATGCCCACCTAATTGTTTTTTGTTTGTTTGTTTTTGTCAATTTTTGGTTTTTGTTTGTTTGTGTTTTGAGATGGAGTCTTGCTCTATCATCCAGGCTGGAGTGCAGTGGTGCGATTTTGGCTCACTGCAACCTCCACCTTCTGGGTTCAAGTGATTCTCCTGCCTCAGCCTCCTGAGTAGCTGGGATTACAGGCATGTACCACCATGCCCTGCTAATTTTTGTATTTTTAGTAGAGATGGGTTTCACCATGTTGGTCAGACTGGTCTGTCTGGAACTCCTGACCTCAGGTGATCCACCTGCTTTGGCCTCTGAAAGTGTTGGGATTACAGGAGTGAGCCACTGCACCTGGCCAATTTTCTTTCTTTCTTTTTTTCTAAAGAGGTTGTGTCTCATTATGTTGTCCAGGCTGGTCTTGAACTCCTGGGCTCAAGCAGTCCTCCCATCCCACCTTCCCAAAGTGCTGGGATTACAGGCATGAACCACCATACCCTGCCTCCTAGTTATTCTTTATTTGCTTTCTTGTCAGTGTGATTTGTGGTAAATTTAATGAGTCTACCACAATTTTCTTCTCTCTGAAAAATAAAAACTACAGGATTTCTAAGAGATATGTAATATTCAAGTAATGTTACACTTACTTTTCCTAAACATCTGCCCCGTGATTTGTTTCTTTTCAGATCATCAGGATTAGGAAGTTAGACAATAGTATGTATTTTAGAGTCTAGAATAGAATGAGGCCAGGCACGGTGGTGGGTGCCTGTAATACCAGCTACTCAGGAGGCTGAGACAGGAGAGGAGAATTGCTTGAACCCGGGAGGCGGAGGTTGCAGGGAGCCGAGATTGTGCCATTGCACTGCAGCCTGGGTGACAAGAATGAAACTGAGCTGCTCAAACAAACAAACCAACAAAAGAACATAACCAAAACAACAACAATAAAAAAGAATAGAATGCATGAAAATTTTTTCTTTCTTTCTTTTTTTTTTTTTAAATAGAGACCAGGTTTCACCATATTGGTCAGACTGGTCTCAAAATCCTGACCTAAGGTGATCCACCCACCTCGGCCTCCCAAAGTGCTGAGATTACAAGCGTGATCCACTGTGCCCTGCCCCGAAATTTTCTTAAAAAAATTTTTTTTTGATATGGAGTCTCCCTCTATTGCCAGGCTGAAGTGCAGTGGTGCAATCTTGGCTCACTGCAACCTCTGCCTCCTGGGTTCAAGCGATTCTCCTGCCTCAGCCTCCCAAGTAGCTGGGACTGCAGGCATGCACCACCATGCCCAGCTAATTTTTGTATTTTTAGTAGAGATGGGGTTTCACCATGCTGGCCAGGATGGTCTCGATCTCTTGACCTTGTGATCTGTCCACCTCAGCCTCCCTAAGTGCTGGATTACAGACATGAGCCACTGCACCCGGCCTTAATTTTTACATTTAAATTTTTTTTTTTTTTTTAAGACGGGGTTTTACCATGTTGGTCAGGCTGGTCTTGAACTCCTGACCTCAGGTGATCTGCCTGCCTTGGCCTCCAAAGTGCTTGGATTACAGGTGTGAGCCACCATGCCCCGCCACATTTTAAATTTTCTGCGAATTTTTTTTTAAAACTTTTATTTTAGGTTCAAGGGTATATGTGTGAGGGATCTGTGGGGATCGCTCCCGTGTGAGGCCCCTAGGAAATGGGCCTCGCCATATGGTGAGCTTGAGCCCGGACACAGATCCCCGGTTGGGGGAGTCGAGCTGAGAGAAAGCAGGAACCGAGAGAGGGACTATGCTATTCAAAATAATTAACAGACATTACTTTATGGATATGAGGACTTGGGAGGCATTGTGTCCACTTTCGGCTCCTTATGGTTTATTGCTTGATTGTGTTCATTTTGGACCCTTGTTACCTTCATTGTAAAATATTAACTTAAGTATTTACACTTGGTAACTTACTTACCTAACTTACTGGGTGTAACTGTAACTTACTTACCATAACTTATTGGGCGTAACTGTAACTTGCTTACAATTGTTAAGTACTTACTGGGCGTAACTGATTTACTGGGCTTAACTTACTTAATGGGTGTAACTTAGTGGGGGTAACTTGCTTACTATAACTTAAGTATGTTGATCTGGGGTAAACAACATTAACTTCAGAAAAGTATATAATGGAATATATTGCAAAAATAAAATTGCTGCTTGGAGATAGCCTAAGCCAGCCCTCCAGACTCCGCTTTTCTTTTTTCTTTCACTTCTGCGCACTCTCTCCCTCAGGTTGAACGAGACATCTACGTTGGCGGTCTCGGGGACTCCCGCAGGTCGGTAGCCCCCCGGCAGATGTGCCGGACCCCAACATATGTGCAGGTTTGTTACATAGTTAAACTCTTGTTACGGAGGTTTGTTGTACAGATTATTTCATCACTCAGGTACTAAGCGTAATACCCAATTGTTAATTTTTTTCTGATCCTCTCCCTCCTCCACCCTTCACCTCAACTATGGCCCAATATCTGTTGATTTTCTCTTCATGTCCTTGAGTTCTAATCATATAATGTATGAATTCTTTTTTTTTTTTTTTGAGACAGTGTCTCTCTCTGTCACCCAGGCTGGAGTGCAGTGGCACAATCTTGGCTCACTGCAACCTCTACCTCCCAGTTCAAGTTATTCTCCTGTCTCAGCCTCCTGAGTAGCTAGGATTACAGGCATGCACCACCACACCTGGCTAATTTTTTATTTTTAATAGAGATGGGGTTTCACCATGTTGGTCAGGCTAGTCTTGAATTCCTTGTGATCTGCCCACCTCAGATTCCCAAAGTGCTGGGATTACAGGTGTGAGCCACTGAGTCCGGCCCTCTTTTTTTTTTTAAATTTTGATGGTGTCTTGCTCTGTCGCCCAGGCTGGAGTATAGCGGTGCGATCTCAGCTCAATGCAACCTCCACTGCCTGGGTTCAAGTAATTCTGGTGCCTCCCTAGTAGCTGAGATCACAGGCACAGGCCCCCATGCCTGGCTAGTATTTTTGTAGTTTTAGTAGAGATGGGATTTCACCATGTTTGCCAGGCTGGTCTTGACCTCAGGTGATCCACGGGCCTTAACCTCCCAAAGTGCTGGGATTACAGGAATGAGCCACCGCGTCTGGCCTGTGTCTGAGTCTTTTTAAGAACAGGATGTATAGTTGAGGAATAACTGTAATAGCTTATTTTTCATTAGAAATTAATATTTTCATATTAATATTTATACATAAATATGTATATAAATATGGACTTTAAAAAGAAAAAAGTTATTTGCCTTAGCAGTGGTCATAGGAAGTCTGTGTTCTCTCTCTCTCTTTTTCTTTACCCTGCTTGGCACTAAGGTTTCTTAGGGTCAAGTCTCCAAATCTACTCAAGCAATGTTTTGATGCTATGCTAGGTAGAGGTCTGCCATATTCATGGAATGATTTCTGTAACTTATCACTTCGATATTTCACAAAGATTTGTTTTCTTTTTTCCCCCCTATTCTAGTGAGACTCTACACAACTTCGTTTCTCATGTTAGAGAAAGCATTCACAGGGTAAGTACAGCTACTTTTTAAGAAATTAGAATGTCTTATATTTTTAAAAGTTTAATATTTATATTGTACTGGCTTTCAATTTATCATTAAATGGCAATTCTCTAAGATACTAAAATAAGGCAACAGGTTGTGAATTCTTTCATAATTTTTAGTTGCAGACATCTGTGGAAAAGTCAGAGGAACATCTCAGTTCAAGAAGCCAATCTATTTTGGATTCTTTAGAGACTGTGGCCAAGACATGTGAGTGCTTCATGTTTAAGGTATCAGCAGAGGGCACTGATGAATGATGAACATGAACTTTCTGACCCTAGCCTGGTTTTCAGTGGTGAGGTTCCTTATAGAGTTTCAGATGAGAGGATAGGTATATATAGTCCTGAAGACTAACCCTATATGGGTTAGTACTAAGCTGGGTAGTGGGACCCACCTCTATATGACAATGGTCTGGTCCCATGATGCCTTTTGTGAAGGACTCATCCCCCACCTGATAACCATGCTGCCTCAGGGCAGGTAGCTCTGCTAGGTTTCTCACCTCACTGCCTGAAGTGAGTCAGCAACATCCCTGAGTCCCAAATGAATTGCTGCCTGTGCTGTCTATAGAGACACTGACTGTACCCTTAGGAGTTAGAAATACTATATACCTGCTGCTCTTCTTGCTGCCTTAATTTCAGTGGGAGCTGTGTTGTTGTGAATCACAGCATCATTCTTAATTTCAGTTATAGTTTGTAGTTTATAAAACCCTGTGCCCCACCAGTTAGTGATTTACATTTAGATGAAACCATGGCCCTTGCCCTATAAACAGAAGAGAATAAATATACAGTTCTCCTTAGGTGAATACCTCTCTAGAACTACCTGTTTCCTAGCAAAATGATGAGCTGATGACTGTGCATCTGCACCTGTTTGCATTTGTCTCTCTGTTTATTTTTTATTTTAAACAAGTTGAAATCAACTTATTCAAATGCCATGGGGTGGACTGCTTGTGATTTACAAAAATTGATGCCTTTGTGTGGCCTAAAAATTAATCCCCAGCTGTCTGCATAGAAGCACTGTACTGTCTGCTGGCTTTCAACCTGGACATCCCATACACAGGGCAACTATGCATCTGTTTGGAAACTTGTTCTGGAAGCCTTAAGACTGTTACCCCCACAAAGTAGCAAGACAGCGAACAGAAGCAAATCAGGGATGCTTCCTGTGTATAACATGATAGAGTAACTCATTTTTAAGTAACTAAGGAAAGCACTCTGGTTTTGTTCTACATTTAAAACTGGGTGGGCTGGGTGCAGTGGCTCATGCCTGTAATTCCAGCACTCTGGGAGGCCAAGGCAGGAGGATAACTTGAGGTCAGGAGTTCGAGACCAGCCTGGCCAAAATGGCGAAACCCCATCTCTACTAAAAATACAAAAATATTTAGCTGGGCATGGTGGCAGGTGCCTATAATTCCAGCTACTTAGGAGCATGAGGTAGGAGAATCACTTGAACCCAGGAGGCGGAGGTTACAGTGAGCTGAGATCCTGCCACTGTACTCCAGCCTAAGCAACAGAGCAAGACTTTGTATCACATAAATAATAATCATAAAACTGGGTGAAGTACAAAAAAGGGGGATTGTAGCAAAAGTGTGACATTTAAATCCTAGAAAAGGGAAAGGAAGTGCCCGAGGCCCCAACGCAAGATCAAGGCAGAGAAAGAACTAAAACTGAATCTGGCTTATGGTAGGCACAGGGATCCTGATCCTTTGCTCCAGTGGTTCCTTAATTTTCTTTTCTTGTTTTGTTTTGTAGAGACAGGGTTTTACCATGTTGGCCAAGCTGGTCTTGAACTCCTGACCTTGTGATCCACCCACCTCAGCCTCCCAAAGTGCTGGGATTACAGGCGTGAGCCACCACCATTAGGCGTGAGCCTAATCCCAGCACTTTAGGAGGCCGAGGTGGGTGGATTGCTTGAGCTCAGGAGTTTGAGACCAGCCTGGGCAACATAGGGAGACTTTGTCTCTAAAAAAAATAAACAAAACTAGCAGGGCATTGGACACATGCCTGTAGTCACAGCTACTAGGGAGGGTGAGGTGGGAGGATGACTTGAACCTAGGAGATTGAAGCTGCAGTGAGCTGAGATGATGCCACTTCACTTTAGCCTGGGAGATCAAGACCCTGTCTCTAAATATTAAAACTAAATAAATAAAATGAAAAAAAAAAAAAAGACTCAAGGCTGGGCTTGGTGGTTCATGTCTATAATCTCAGCACTTTGGGAGGACAAGGTGGCAGAATCATTTGAGGTCAGGAGTTCAAGACCAGCCTGTCTAACATGGTGAAAACCTGTCTCTACTAAAAATGTATTAAATTAGCCAGGCATGGTGGTGGGCACCTGTAATTCCGGCTACTCGGGAGGCTGAGACAGGACAATTGCTTGAACCCAGGAGGTGGAGGTTGTAGAGAACCGAGATGGTACCACTGCATTCCAGCCTGGGCAATAGAGTGAGACTCCATCTTAAAAAAAAAAAAAAAGACTTAGCAGAGGGAGCCATACTGAGAGGACAAACAGTTACAAACACAGTAGCATCATATGAATTGGAAGGATAGGTCATTCTTGAAAATGGGCACAAGTAGCCTATCCAGAATAACTCTCTTTCTTGGTAGGAAATGATGAGGAATAGAAAATTAATCATTGAGAGAGGAACTGGACAAATCCTGTAGCCAGGTTCAGTCCAGCTATCCTAAAGCACTGAACTCCACCTCAGTGCATTCTGCAGGCTTTCAGTCTCTACTCACTGTGCTCATCAGGGAATGGGGAAGTAAAGATACTATGTGAAAGTGTTGTCTTGTGTTACTATGTAATTGGTGCCTTCACAGATGAGGTCATGAAATATTTTCCCAGTCAGCATGCCCAGCCAGAAGGATCACTGTAGCCATCTAATCTAACTCTTCCTGTTCTTCAGCTGAGGACACTAAGGACCAGAGTAATAAAGTGAATTACCAAAGCCACTTATATCCTACCTCATATATTAATTACATAATTAAAAGAACTAAGGCCTGGTGCGTTGGCTCACACCTGTAATTCCAAGACTTTGGGAGGCTGAGACAGGCGGATCACCTGAGGTTGGGAGTTCAAGACCAGCCTGACCAACACGGAGGAACATTGTCTCCACTAAAAATACAAAATTAGCTGGCATGGTAGCGCGTGCCAGTAATCCCAGCTACTCAGGCGGCTGAGGCAGGAGAATCGCTTGAACCCAGGAGGTGGAGGTTGTGGTGAGCCAAGATGGTACCACTGTACTCCAGCCTGGGCAACAAGAACAAAACTCCACCTCAAAAAATAATAAAATACAATAAAAATAAAAAGAACTAGAAGGTAACATGGATAACACTTTTATAATTTTATAAAGGGAAAAGCCTTTCTGAGCAAAATAGATATAATTGTTAAGAAGAGTGAGATCCATCTATATGAACATGGTAGAATGGAAATACCTGTTCATTGTTAAATTAAAACAACAACAAGGTGCTGTTCATGTGCTCCAGGATACATCTTGTCAGGAAGTGTGACCAGCCAGTGAAAATTGGGAAGAGTATCCCTAAAATAGTTGGAAGTGGTCTCATCTTATACAATGAGGCTTCTAGATCTTTCCTCAGGCTCTCATCAGCACCTCGGGGAGAATGAAACTACAGAGTAAAAGGAAAATCACTGGCCATCAGGGAAAAGCATTCATTTCTAAGTTGCATCACAATCTGATCTCATCTCAACTGAAGCCTTGTCAAATTGCTAAAATAGAAACAAATTGTTTAAAAATCATCTTGGCTGGATGCGGTGGCTTAGGCCTGTAATTCCAGCACTTTGGGAGGCCGAGACAGGCAGATTATGAGGTCACGAGTTGGGAGACCATACTGACCAACATGGTGAAACACCACATCTACTAAAATACAAGAAATTAGCTGGGTGTGGTGGCATGCACCTGTAGTTCCAGCTACTAGGGAGACTGAGGCAAGGCAATTGCTTGAACCTAGGAGGTGGACGTTGCAGTGAGCTGAGATTGTGCCATTGTACTCCAGCCTGTGACAGAGCAAGACTCCCTCCCAAAAAAAAAAATCATCTTTTTTTTTTTGAGACAGAGTTTTGCTCTTGTTTGACCCAGGCCTGTGTGCAATGGCACGATCTCGGCTCACCGCCAGCTCTGCTTCCTGGGTTCAGCCAATTCTCCTGCCTGAGCCTCCTGAGTAGCTGGGATTACAGGCAGGCGCCACCATGCCCAGCTAATTTTTTGTATTTTTAGTAGAGACGGGGTTTCACCGTGTTGACCAGGATGGTCTCGATCTCTTGACCTCGTGATCCACCCGCCTCGGCCTCCCAAAGTGCTGGGATTACAGGCTTGAGCCACCGTGCCCGGCTGAAAAATCATCTTAACAGAAAAACAGATATTGTTTAGAATATGGAAATGGATTTTAAATGGCATTTTTACATAAAAGCTAAAAATATCTAATGTTTATAGTCAAAGCAAAAATGAAATGAATACTCTTCTAGACACACATACAAATACAGATATAGGACCTAGGATGTATATACAGATATGCACATGTATTAATGTAAAATTCCAGAAACTGATGATATTGTTAAATCCAGGAGGTGAGACCAAGTTCTATAGAGGAGAGATTGAATCTTTTTTTCTCATTATATACCTTTTTATACTGTTACAGTTTTGAGTTATTTTGATAACTGAATTTTTTTTTAAAGAAAAAATACGGATAGACTTTGGAAGTAATGAGTTTGATACAAAAGCTCCTGTAAAAGGGAAGACTCCAAATATATGTTGCCCTGGGGACAAGAACTCAATGTGTGAGACCACAGATGGATGTTTTGTGAGCACTTAATCTAGAATCAAACACTTTTCTTGCCTTTCTCATGCTCTGCTTTTGTGATGGTCAGTAATGTCCACTGTTGCTAAGAAACATTACTATTTAGGAACTTCTCCAGGGAAGGATAATTACATTTGCTCTCTACTATAAATATCTACATGGATGTCTGAAGAGTCTAATTGAGTTGAGGAGCTGGAATCCAAAACCTAAGTAAACAGTCTCTTTTTAATTGATTGACACATGGAATTTAACTTGCACCTGTGGTGAGAAATATGGGAAAATTTCCTCTCTAAATAATTCTTTGGCTGGGCGTGGTGGCTCACACCTCTAATCCCAAAACTTTGGGAGGCCAAGGCGGGCGGATCACCTGAGGTCAGGAGTTCGAGACCAGCCTGACCAACATGG